CTTTTAATTTCAAAATAAATCTTCACTTTTAATTCATATTGTGGAAGGTCCAAAATCATGCAGATATTGGATTTATAGAGGCGTGCATATTTTACGAATATGCCAACATAGCATCCATCTGTTTCCTAAAGCTACCTGGGTCAGGGCAGCAGTCAAAGCACCGACCTCCCTCTCTCCTACTCCACCTCTTCCCCAGTCCTCTGATATAATAGTGTGCTCAGGGTATGCCCTGGGGCTCCTCACAGTAAGACATCCCTGAAACACTTCCTGGTCAGATGCCTGAACCACCTCTGCTGTCAATGTGGAGGAGTAGTGGCTCTACTTGAGCTTGAGCTCCTCACCCCATCTCTGACCGAGACTACCAGCAGAGGAAGCTCACGCCTGCAGGTTCTACCATGAGCTAACTCTTCAGACTCTACCCACAGGAAAGGGTGGGAATGCAGGTCAACTGGAAAAGCAATCTTTCACATACAGCTCTTTGGAGAAGCGTGCCTGGTTAAAGAACACCACAGGCTCGTTGCTGTAGACCAGGGGTGTCAAACTCCTCGAGGCCGTTGTTCTTTTACATGTGTCTGCTGCAACACACCTGGCTACAATTAGTAGGTCATTAGCAAGACCTGACTGCATACTGAGGTGCCAACCCTACCCATACACGAGTAAATTTAGAAAAATGTAACTAAATGTAAGTGAAAAAAGAGTGCTTTTATTGGACCATGTTGATTGTGAGCTGCTGTAACATGAATCAAATGGCTGCCACCTCGGCGTGCAGTCAGGTCTTGCTGAAGCAGCAGGGACACATGGAAAAGTTTCAGGACACCGGCCCTTGAGGACACTCCTGCTGTAGAAGATCAGTGCTCTACAGGTCAGGCACAGTCAACCCTCGCTGAGTAGAACTGGCTTTAGGGATGTGCATGAGGTCCCCAGTAGATATAATTGGAACCAGTCTTCTGGAGAGGACATGGACTATCCAGAAGACCCTCGGAGAGTATCCCTATGGCTTTGTGTCAGTATGTCGGGGTTTTCCCACAGTGGACGAGAGGATGGTTTAGCCTTTGTTCAGAGTGCCCAGACCCCTGAGTGGGTCCTGGAAAAAGCCCCATAAGGCAATGGCACCAGGACACTCAGGTGAAGATAGGAGCAGCGCTGATCACCACCTGGTGGTGACACTCGGTACACCCATAAATCAAAGGCATCACCTCCAACCAGCTGCAGCAGGTGGCTGTCCCTTTCTGAGCCTGGTTGAGCTGGACATTTCTTCCTGCTAAGAGGGAGTTTTTCCTCCCCACTGTCACCGAGTGTTTACTCACAGGGGCTCATATAATGGTTGTTTTTTCTGTATTACTGTAGGGTCTGCAAACAAAAATAAGCTGTGATAAGCTCTTGATATATAAATAAAACTGAAGTGAATGTGATTGTTTGTCATTGTTGTCCGTTGTTGGTTTTTCACTGCTGCATTTTGTATTTGTTGTGTTTAAGTTGGAGGCAGAGAGGGTACAAATCCACAGCTTGGAGGTGTCTGTAGTAAACCACCTCTTTGTGTTTTCAGTATTGATGTCGTTCTGCCTTTGGAGCTTCGATTTCCTTTATCTGTAGCGGTGGGGTTGCTCCAAGCTCTCTCTCTGTTTGGGAATAAATAACAAAGGGAGCAACACACAGTACAAATCCCCCTGACCCCCCACCCCCACCCCCACAGCCACCCTGTTTCAAAAACCTACCGTTCATCAGCGGGGAGACTGTGGACCACTGGCTGGTCAAACTGCTCAGTTAGGTTATAGAGTAGGTTTGACAGTAATGGTCTTTTAGCTTAATACAGAACAGTAACCCTCATCAGTTGTTTGGGAGTGATGAACTCATCTCACCGATGCCATTAACCGGGCACGGACGCCAAATGACATCTCGAGCATAAACGAGCAATGCGACTGATGCCCCAGGCAGAAAACGAGCCGGAGGATCGGAACGTCTCTGCACACAAACGATGTCAAAGGTATGAACTGCCACCACCTCAAGGGAGACAACAGAAACCAAGGCTACGTCCACACATACACGGGAATGTTTGAAAACGGAGATTATCCATTTTAAAAAATAATCCCGTCCACACGTAAACGCAGAAATGAAGGAAAACGCTGCTAGGAACATGCCAAAGCAGCAGGTGGCGCTATATTCCTAACCTGCAGAAATGTTGGCCAATCAGAAGTCTAGAAGCCTCGGTTGGAAAAAGTAAACAAAGCTGGGGCATAGAAGCAGAACCGAGTCGTATGTGTGGAGGGACAGTAACTGTGTGTATATGTAAGCATTTAAACACTGCAGAGACAATTAACAGTAAGAGTATTGTAGAAATTCATTTCACCGAAACAATAACGTGGCGCACAGTGTGACGTCAAAAAAGGCGCACACCTTTGACGCTGCGTTTTCTCCGTTTTTCTCGTCCACGCGTAAATGCAAAAACTGAGTTTTCAAAAATCTCCACCCTGGCCGGAGTTTTTAAAAATCTCCGTTTTCAGTGACCAGCCTGCTCATTATTAATGTTTTGTAATTCATCTTCTTTTCAATTACATGAAATTATTTTTCAAATGTTTTGTTTTTCCTCGTGTTTGAAACGTGAAGGTCCATGACGAGATCAGCTGTTAACTTCTGCTTTCAAAAAATAACAGGAAGCTTTGAAACACATGACAGGAAACTCTGTGGTAAATAACCTGGATTATTTTCTCTCATCGATTACACAACTTCATACATGAGTGCTGCTTTGCTGCAGGGTAAACTTACACACACACATCAGAAACACAAACAAACAGCAGCTGCCCGGTGGGCAGATACGCCAACCGTCAGAACGTGTGTGAGTCCACCTATGCCACATTCAGTCAAATCACACAAACACACACAGTGCCTGCTGATAGTGCAGATTAGGGCTGGGCGATATGGCCTAAAATCCATATCGCGGTATAATTTCAAGCACGTGCGGTAACGATATATATTCTTTTCTTCTGTCTAACGTAAGGCACACTTAAAATCCTTTAATTTTCTCAAAAATCGAGATTTTGCCTTATGTGTGAATTCTGGTTGTGCTTTGGTAAGCTTTGGTAAGCTTTGGTAAGCTGCACTGCTTGATGGATTGTCAGAGCATTACGGCTGCCATAGTGAGGAGCTTCGCGGAGTAATCTGGGTCCAAAACTCCGTCTTCTTCAGGTCCCAAAGTCAAACGAACACTGAGAGTTAAAAACGGTCTAAATTATTTCATCTTTAATAAAATCATCAGCGTTTCTGCTTTACCAGGTGTAACAATTAAGTTTAACATCCATGAAAACAGAATTTATTAAATTTAACGGAGTTAGAAGTTAGCGGAAGTTAGCTCGCTAGCTTCCACCTAAACATGATATACCATGTTCTGACTGAGAGATTTTTGAAACTAATTCAAACGTACAGCTCTGCTATCACTTCCAACATAAATGAAGACAGAAAACTAAACAGCAGTGACGTTTGCAGGGTTACTGAAGTTGGGCTAGCTGGTATATAATGTTGTGCTACGTGCTAGCGACACAGCTATGTTAGCATAACATTAGCACAGCTGGAGGATGAACGCTAACTTTTTTTTCCACTCGATAAAATTTTCATCCTATATACGAGGTTAGTTATTAATATACTGCAACAACATGGGAACAGAGCAGCTGCAGAGAATTCCACATTAATGAATCAATGTTACGGAAGTGGAGGAAGCGCAGTTTTTGGCTTTCCCCATATTTCAAAAGTGCTTCATCTCTTTGCTGTGACTGTCGTCCGCCATAATTTGCAGATGATGATGTTTGTAGCCGCTGAGATGCTCAAAACAGGCGCAGCTTGATGACATCATCAACATGTGGTAGAGCGGTATAGTCAAAATCTCTATCGTTGGCCAAATTTATATCGTTTCTATCGTATATCGTTTATATCGCCCACCCCTAGTGCAGATCTCCTGCAGCAGTTCGGTGTGATGCTTCTGTAATCTCTGGTTACCCAGTTATGCTCAGTCACTCACAGAAAACAAGGCCTGATTGGAGCTTTGGAGGTACAGCAGCCTCAGAGGATCTATGGTTGTGCCTTTGACAGGAACTACTCACGTCACAGAGGCCGGTCTGAACCTTGGCTTTACTGCTTTAATACAAAACTGGAGAGAAAGTGCAAAATGAAGTAGAGACTGGTGCTGGTGTAGGACGTCATTAAACACAGCATGGTGTTACGGAGCGCTCAGAGCTTTTATCTATGTCGTGTTTGCTCCTTGGGCTCACTCAGAGACTGATACTGAGACTGGATCCAGATCAATTAGTGACTCTTTATTGGAGACGTCGAGATGAGCCTTTTATAATTTTATGATATGGTGCTGTTTTTATTTGTTTGCTTGTCACACTAAAATGTTTCAGCTCATCCAACAAACTCAAATATTCGACAAAGATAACACAAGGGAACACAAAATGCAGTTTCTAAATAAAGATATTTATTATTGAAGCAAAACAAATCCAAACCTACACAGCCCTGTGTGAAAACGTACGTAGTCCTACACCTAATGAGTGGTTGAGACGCCCTTATCAGCAATCACAGCTGGATGTGTCATGTAAACCAGTCCAGATCACCAACAGAGAGCCAATCAGCTCCACGGCAGTGAAGCCAAAGGAAAAGACAGCTCTTACTTTATAAACCTGCCTTTTAAAACTCTCATCATGTAAAATTATTCTCTAATAAAAACTGTTTTAGCTTATCTGCGCAGCTTTGTAGGACTCGGGTCCAAAAGTTTCTCAAAAGCACGAAGGACTAGAGCTCAGAAAGGATGAAAGAGATTTTATTAAATGATTGTTAAAACTGAAAATGAATAAAACATCTCCCAGCCAGCACACTGATGAATAACCCTCGAGGACAACCTTGTCTTTGTTGAAGCTGAATTATTTCTGACAAAGCATCAGATCAGAGAAGAAGTATCTGACTGCACTGCTCATATCCACCACAGCTTCAGTGGGAGGAGGTGTGTATCTTACCTTATGATGACATACATGACGAGGAAGTTTCCCACCAGACCAATGACGCACACGATCATGTAGACGACCACGATGGTGACCTTCACCCCCATTGGCAGGTAGTCGGTGTCATTTTGAGGGTAACTGAAGTTGTTCAGAAAATACGATAAATTGTACGGCTGCAGCGCGAAGTCTTCAGGGTAGTCCATGTTTAGCTGAGATCAAAGAAATGTTTACGCTCACTGTAAAGGAAAAAAGAAATGTGGTTAAACACTGTAACATACAGAAATGTGACGGAGCATTTTTACGAGCTCTCACTTCTTAAGTTTACTCAAAAACACCAAAACAGTCGTTAAAATGTGTTTGCCGGTCAAAGGTTTGTAGTTACTGATTTATAAAATCAATAGATTAATCGCCCCATTTTAATTTGATTTGATTTCGAAGTGGGGTGACACGTGTGGTTGGAAAAAGGCATTGATTGGCCATTTCAACCAGTCGTGTACACTAAAAGTGTATTGTTCCTCCGCCCACTCTGTCGAGGATGCAGCAGGTGGTGCCAAGGATCCCAGAGAACAGGCGTCTGCGTCACCAAATAAATGCACGTTTTTACGCAGGAATCTAGTGGATCTATCAACATACTGCCTGCTGCAAAACCATCGCTGGCCTGGATTCTGGTCTCAGTGGAGATTAAAGGTAAGAAATACTTTCCAACTTTAAGTCAGCGTTTTGTTTGTTATGGAGCAAAAAGATTTCAAACTGAGCTTCGTCATTTTATTTCACTTTAATGTTTTGCTCTATCCGTTGATAGACGTGAAAATAAACGTTTATTTTCAGCAGTAATAACAGCCGTTTACGTCAATCGGAGGTCTGAGTGGTGTCCAAAGACGATGTGGGCTTCATAGATAATTGGTAAACTTTCTGGAGGAAACCTGGTCTTGTTAGGAGAGACGGCATCCATC